AGTTCCAGTTCCTCCCCCCGGCCCCCAACCACCAGGATATGGATAAGTATTTTTTAATATAAAACTATTTTTAAACTTCTTTTTTAAAAATAACGATATTTGATGATAAAAAGACAAAGAATTCGATAAAACTGGAAACTGGAAACTTTTTATTAAAAACTGTCTTTTTTTAAATTCTTATTTTTTAAAGAAGTTGCATTACACCTGAAAATTTTATCTCTTTCAGTTTATTAAAAGAGCATTTTATCTTGATTATATTAGCAGCTGAACAAGAAATCAGGGCGAATTTAAAGAATTCGAGCCGCGGCTTAAATATCGTTGGTTCCGCTTAAAATTGTATTCAATGTTTTAAGATTTAAGCCGGCGCTCCATTGAAACCGTTTTTTGCAGATTTGAGACGCGGCTCAAATTTATTAAATTCGGACTCTGGAATCTTTAACTTTTTTATCCCCGTGAATAACCTCCAAAATAAATTTTGCGACTAAGGTTAAGCCATTAAGAGAAGGAATTGACTCTTTGCTACAATCTCAAATTCTAATCCCTATATCTTTGTAACCTGATAGTGTAAACCTTTCTTATTTCAAACTTTCAAATTTTGCTTAAATCTGTTTTGCGAAAAAACGCAATAATGTTGCGGTTAAAATAAGGAAGAGAAATTATCAGTTGTGATATAGTTAAACTTCTAATTCTGAGCTAATGTTTTTTTGCACACAAAATTTCACAAAAACGATTTTCGCTAAATTTCGCATTTTTTCGCTTAATACATTTTTGCGTAAAAGTTTACGAAAAACGAAGTTTTTGTTCGCTGGAAAACCTGATTGCAAGGATAAAGGATCGGAAAATCTGATTTTGTGGCAAAGATTCAATTTCTTTCCATAGAATTCTCGACTTAGTATCCTATCCAGCGCAAATATTTTATCTTGGGCGTAAAAATGACAATTCTGATTTCTTTGAGCACATTTGGATATCCAAGGTGGTCCTAGATTGGACAGTAACCCCAATTTATAATTACTAAAGCGGCAGACTGTCTAATATTGCCTTATATCAAAGACTTTGCTAATTAGCAAAGTCTTTGCCTTATATATAGTCTATATGTGTATGACTATGTACTGCTTACTCTGGCTGGTTGCAATTCGGACCGGCAGCGCGGTACTTGAAATAAACCAGAGCCCAAAACTTAAGACAGGGTATCATTATGGAAACTAGTTTTGAATAGGGGTAAGGCAGTTTTGTGGATATCAATATTTATTTTTGTTATGAAATATTATTTTATTTAGTTTCTTCATATTTTCCAGTTTTAGAACCTCTTAAATTAAAATCTACACAAATGTTAACACCCCAAAAAGGAAACTCGAGAGTTTCGTTTAACTCTTTTAAATTTCGGGCTCTAATTTTACAGTACAGACAATAAACTGACATATAGTGAACCTTAACTTTTCGAACAAATTGATCGATATATCAATCAGTCTTCAAAAATCTAACAAAACGTTAGATTTTATGAAAATCTCAAGACCTAAATGTATAAACTTATTATTTGTTTATAAAAATCTAATTGTACTCACAAATAAATTATATTACGTGTAAAAAGTATTCTTTTTCAAAACTTTTCCAATTAATGGAAGTTTTTCTGTTCTAATCTTCAGAAGAAAATAGTTTTCTTAGATTCACAATTTTTAACATTTTTGTGAATTATGAAAAGGCGGAGGGGGTGGGGGGGGGATACTTGGCGTTTATCCTCTCCCCCTTTCTAGGCTTTTGGTCCCAAAAACTTTTAACCCTTTTCACAGGGATTCTCCCCTCTCCCCTCGCTCGCTATTGTGATAAAAGTCCACATTCCTAACATTTTCTATCTTTATATTTTCTTTTCTGAATTTCCAAAAACAATATGGAAATTCACTCAGCTAAACCTTCAATGCACAACGACATGACACACCATGTTCGGGTCGGATAAGTTGTTGTCTGCAACTAGAGATGGGGGTGTTTGGCTTTTAAAAATAATTTCGTTCATTATTCATCGTTAACAACTCATTTCGTTCATACATTTCAATAGTTATGTAAAATTTCGTTTGTTTTTAAATGAAAATTTGTCTAGAGAAATTTTTCGTTCAATAAAATCAAAAAAATTGCAAACAATCATCCACGTTTTTTTTTATTTCTCTGAACGATCCCAATCGTTTTTTTAGAGCTACACTATCGGTCACGAAAATTTCGTTTGTTAGGAAATATTTTGTTAACAAAAACGATGATATTCCCTAGCTGCAAATACTTTTGAGAAGATAGGATTCGAGTCGGAAAATTAATAAAATACATCTCCTGGTGGGTTAATGCCTACTGTAAGTTTTCTCCAAAACTTATCAAGTACTTTTCAGACCTTAATTAAATTCTTAATTTTTTTAAAATTTAAAATTTGTTTTTAAGGCCATTTTCTACACCCCTCCATAACCCCCCCCTTCCCCCAAAAAAATCAACTATTTAGCAAATAAAATATTGAGATGTTGTCCTTGAAGAATAGTCTAACACAATTTTGAAGTGGGTTGAACTGATTATTACGACTGTTGGTGCTTAATATTAACTATATGTCAGTGTCCCCCCTTTCTATGTTTGTTATTGAGAAATGCAAGGGGGGAATGAAAGGTACAGAGAGTACGAATAAAAGCATTTGTATATATATATAACTTAAAGCTCTGGTTTATTTGAAGTACCGGACCCACTTTTAGGCGACAAGATAAAGTTGTACAGTTTAACATACAAAGCTTGGACTGTACCGCAAAATTACAATTACTAAAGCTCCACACTCTTGTATGTCGAGTCCATTAGCGCCTGTTCCAATCAGGGTTCAGTCATAGAAATTGCATGGCGGTAACTTCATTCTTTCTGTGTATCTCATTATCTAATTAGAGATGAATCTTAAATTCGGCGCTAAACAGTAAATAGAAATATTTACTTCTACTGAAACTAAAGTGGATCCAGACCTGTCTGTTACGAGAATATTAAGGTATATATTCAATACGGAATGTCTCTATATATTTGTATACTCTGTGACTAATGGTTTTGTCCAATGTGCTAACTCAGCATAAAATTAGCAATATGCATGTATCTATATAGTATTGTGTATCTATCTGATAAACAAATACAGCACCATTTTTAAATAGACAACAGATAGGGGGGAGGATAATTCACTTGCTTAATCACTTCTGTATGCCGAGTCCATTAGCGCCTGATCCAATCAGGGTTCAGTCATGTGTTTGTTGTCTATTCTGAACCAATAGAAATAGTATGGCGGTAACATCTATCTTTCTATCTAAAAATCGTCTTTAGAATCATTCAATAATCCGATTAACCTTATATCGGCGCTATACACTAAATGGAAATATTTACTTCTACTTGAAACTATAGTGGCGGTCAGACTTTATGCTTGATTTAGGTTCAATTTACTTTTACTCAAGGAGCAGAGGTGCGTGTAATCAAATCATATATTTTTCTTCAGTAATATTAAATCATACTAGTTATTAACAAAACAAACTATATCACTTTTATAAATGATTTAGTTCGGCTTTAACCAGATAGCAATTTGGGTATTTATCATTATTCATTGTAATGGCTTTTTTGAATTTTGTGAGGGGTGGGAGTACATTATACACAATAATTTCAGTAGAAGTAAATATTTCCATTTACTGATAACGCCGATTCAAGGATTCATAACTCTAATTGGATAATGAGATAGATAGAAAGATAGATGTAACCGCCATATTATATCTAATGGTTCAGAATAGACACCAAACACATAGCTGAACCCTGATTGGATCAGGCGCTAGTGGACATACAGGAGTGAAGGTTTTAATCTTAATTTTCAAAAAACAGATATTTTAGTTTTTGCTGTTTTTTTTCGATTTTAATCTATTTAATAAAGTTGGCGTTCGGTAATGCGTAATTTCAAGTGAGCATGCTTTTCAAAGATGACAATGCCTGGTTCATAGCATTAATCATATATCAATGTTTATAGTTTTAAAAACTGATTATTTTCCACTATGGGCTCTCCCCTACAGGAAAACATACATGAATTATCCAAATTAAACATTTTAGAGATATATCTTCCTAATCATTGATTAGATCAAGGTTGCCATGGGGTACCGTTGTGAATCGAGCATTGTCATCTTTAAAGGGAGGTTTGTGGAAGACGACTCCTGTCCGCCTTAAACAAGTTCCACAAGATTCAACAGAATGAGATAGAACGGATACGGGGCATTAGTACAAAAACATCTACACATGTGATTTCGACAATAACGATTATTCTGAACCCTCTAGTAATAAGTTATAAGAAATATATATATATACTGGAAGTTATCTATGCGTTTTTATTAGAGTCCGACTCACGTTACTCTTACTCTTACAATCTTTAATAACTAGCCTTTTAGACAAATATTTAACATTTTGATCATTCATAAACCTTCCCTAGGTCCCACGTGAGGTCCCACACAAAATTTGGGCCCGATCGGTTCAGCCATTTCGACGTTTATTGGATACACACAAACAGACAGACAGACAAGCTAAATTTATACATAGATTGGAAATTTAAAACTTCTTGCGCTAAAAAAATTATCAAAAAGTATAATTTTAGAAAATGTACACATGATGTAAATACAATAATATTCCCGATACTATCCAGGCGAACTAGACTTGATAGCATATCATTAATTACAAGTTTATAAAGGTAAAAAGCTGTTTTATAAACAGGATATTTATCATTATGTATTTAAAGCATAAAAGCTTAAAAACAATTTAATTGCTTGTTTTCAATGCGACATAAACACATTAACATACTTTATACCAAGGTTATAATGCAAGGAAAGTTATTTTAGAGGTGTCACATCTTTTGTACTGCAGTGTACTGTCTCTTGGCGGTAGTGTAAACACAAGACGGATGTCGGAGCCTGTCACATGGAATCCATCTTTCACATAAAAACTCAATGAAATATTTTGTTCATAGGAAACTATTATGTGAATTAGCAAAATTATCAAAATTTAATGCTTTTAACCTCCTCGGATACTAAACGAACACTGATGCATCTATTCTTGTTCACAAATTCCGAGAGAACTGGTTTTAATATGTACGCAAAGTATACGCAACTGCAATTAACCTTCCTTGTATTATAACCTTGCTTTATATAGACTCCCGTGCGAAACGACTCCATAAAGGAATATTTAGGTCACTTGCAAAATACTAATACTTTCAGATCAATCATTTTTATTTGGTCGTTTTCTTAAAGTGAATTCGCCAAATCATTAATATAAAAGTTCAAACAGGGTTTCCATAAAGGAGTTCTAGCAATGTCCAGAGTTTTCCCAATATGTCAACCAACTCAACTTTGAAGTTCAAATTTTTAACTTGACTAAAAACATTCCTGTGGCTCTACCGCGTTCTCCAATAAAAATATTTGAGGCAAATCGATCCAGTGGTTCCCGAGTTATGATCGGACAAACAAACAGACAAACAGAGATTACAACTTTATATATATAAATATAAATAAATAGTTGTTCAAAGAATTTTGACTACTGAGGATCGTCATGAGGCGTGTAACAATTATGTTTAGTATAATTCTTTTTTAATAAAATGTAAAGTTTAAAAACTGAAATATATATATCTATATGTAGATATTTTTTGTAGATAAATATCTTATAAAGAATATACCTGCTTAGTATGTGGATGTTTATTAAGTAAACAATTGTTTGCTGGTATATAGAGGACTAGTCAAGTTTACACTCCTATTGTACACAATCAGCATTTTCTCTAAAATAATAAACATTTTTATTTTCATCATCATTATTCTATTATTTTTACATACTTTTTTATAATGTTATTATAATCGTGGATCTAAAACATAAGATATATACTCATAAATAGGAAACAAGTAGAAAAAATAACACGTGTTTGGCACAACAAGATAAAGAACGCTTGTCAGGGACTAAAAGATAAAGCACACGATTTTCGCACAAATAGCTAAAAAAAGACATGTGAGGCACAAAAAGATAAAAAAAATCACGTGTTAGGTACATCAAGATAAAGATCACGTGTTAGGAACAAAAAGATAAACAAGCACGTGTTATCACAAAAAGATAAAAAGAAGAAAAGTTCTTCTATATAAATACAAATAAATTACAGAAATCAAACTTTTCTTTTCAACAGAAAAGAAAAAAAATAATTTTACTTTAATGTTCTGAAAATTAAAAAAATTCTGAGTTGGGATTTTTTGTTAAATATGATCAAAATCAACCCCTAGAAGATATAAAGAAAAGGGTAAACCGACATCAAATAGATTATCAAGTACAATAGGTGTCAACTGAGATATGGACCAATTATACATGACGTCACAAGTGTCAAATATAACAAGAAAGACAACATTTTCTCCCATTAGTTGACATGTTTTCCAAGATTAGATAAAAAAGTGTAAAAACAGAAAATAAAGAACACAAAATTAAACTTATTTCACTGTAAGATAAGCTCTTTATTATCACAATTATAAGTAATTCAGTCGGACACATAAAACTGTTGACACTTGTGACGTAAGAATACAGCTGTACTGAGAGTGTACAAATTCTATGTTGCCATCTATTGTATTAGAATCTACTTGACTGACACGACCTCGCAAATTCTATAGTTTTCATATATTACACTCATTGCGTATTATTTAAATTTCTATCTTGACTACATCTCTTTTGAAAATTATAAAAGTTTCAAATTTTTTTTATTAAGTTTATTGTAAAATTAAATATATTTCTATGCATTATTAATTGTATGTATATTGTTATATTGTATAGCTTGGAACCCAGCCTTACCTGGAGTTATCCCCATAAAAATTAACCCACTCAGTTTAGAAGTTTCGAGCTATTATCGAACACCCAAACAGAGAATACTACTTTTTCTATACATGGATAATATGTAAATATATATAGAAAGGCCCTCAGCTTATTTTGGTACCTATTCCATTACCCAATCATCAGGGTTTGATGGAACAGTGGTAAGCGTGTTTGATCCATAATCTACGGATTTATTGTTTAAGCCCCGTCAACTGCAAAAATCAAAAACTGATAAAAAAATTCAACCATACTGATGAGTCCTAATAGGACGAAACACTGATAATATAGATATATTATACATATATAATTAATCCTTTTACATAAACCTACTGATGTATAACAACTAATAATCTAATAATAATAATATTAATCTAATAAACTACAAATACTTAGTTGAGGAAGGGATAGCAAACAAATTTAGGGTCAATCAATTAATAATATTTGATACTATTTTCACAAAAAGTAACTTATTTTTGGTATTTTAATAGATAGAAATTTTTTAATTATAACTATTTCAAACAAAGCTGATCAATAAGAAATCAATGCATTGTAAATCCCCCCCCCCCCCAAAAAAAAAACAGCAACCTTAGTCTGTTTTAATTGATAGTTTTATCAAATGATGGATAACAAATAAATTATTTGTGTTGTTGAGATTTTTCACCCTTTTCTCTTTTTATTTAGAAATAACGATTCACGTTTTGATCTCTACTTGTTTTTATAGAACATTTACGCATCAGAACCTTCTAACCCTTAACTATATATATATATACTTTGCTTGTCTGTCTGTCTGTCTGTTTGTATTGAATAGACGTAAAAACGGCTGAACCGATCAGGCCCAAATTTTGTGCGGGATCCCTCCTGTGACCCAGGGAAGGTTTATGAATTATGAACATTTAAAAAATTTGTGTTAAACATTTTTTTTTGTAAAATTTTAAAAATGCGCGAAGAAATATTAAAAAAAGCCGCAAACTTTTTTGTTTTTGTTTTATACTGTACTAGGCTTTTAGGGGCGCTTCGCGCCAATCTTCTATTAAATTTGTGAACATGTTCTTTTTGTTTACATTTTAAAACAATGAAGAAAAAAATTTCGCGGATTTTTAAAAAAAAATTCGCGGATTTTCAAGAATTTAAATTTTTTTACAAAATTAAAAACCTTTAAAACACATTTTTTAAAATTTTTATCATTCATAAACCTTCCCTATGGTCACGTGATGTCCCACAAAAAATTTGGGCCCGATCGGTTCAGCCGTTTAGACGTTTATTGGATACAACCAAACAGACAGACACCCAAACACCCAGACAAGCCAAATTTATTTATAGATAAAGAGAAGATGCTAACTGATAAAGCCATACTTAAAAGTTTAATAGAAGAAAGGTGCGGAGCGCCCTAAAAGCCTTGTTTTAGAAAATATAAAAAAGGCTCTATAGATTGGAAAAAAGTAATATAAAAAAATGCATAAGGAATAGAAAGAAGGAGAAGTTTTGATTGAAAACTTGAAAAGTTTAACGTGACTTTCATTTTTGACGTGGAGTTTATAACTAATTTTGATATGTTGATAAAAAAGAATATGCAATCAAACACTATGTTTGTTTAAAATCGAAAGTAGAGAAATTATAAGATCCCAAAGACACACAATTTTTTGCTCAATCGTGTTCAATTTGTTTATATTGTAATGATTCCTCAAAAAATATACACATTTTAAGATTTAGCCAACTGCAGTGTTTACTGTTTAGTTTAGATTTTTCACTAAAGTAAAATAAAAGCTAATGCATCTTATTTTTACTATAAATTTAAAACCTTTTTGTTCCTCTCACTGGCACTTCAATATTAAAAGCTTTGATAGGAAACATTTATTTATACCTAGTTAACTATAAACTAATTGAATGGTTTATTTTGTTGTAAACTCTTCTTTAATCAAATCATTTTTTAAGTTTTTTAAACTAATAAAAATTATTAACTTCTATTAACTTCTTTTGCCGGTGATTTTTTCTAAGATTCTAAAAGTTTGACAGTATTTTTTTATAATCAATTTACTGAAACTTTAATGTATATTACCTAACCTATAATTAACCTAATTAAGACTTTTGTGAAATGACTTATTATTATAAAGACTAACTGAATGTACATTGTTCTTCCAACAAAAGAATTAAATTTAATTAGACTTAATATAGATTAATGTTATGAACAAGGACTGAAAATTCTTTTCACGTTGAGAGGCAAAATTTAATTAACTAGGGTTTTAATGCGTTTTGCGCCCATCTCTTAACTCTTAAAGGGAGAGTTTGCGAAATATGAAAGGGGGTATAGGCTTAATGCGATAAAAAAGCGCTTTTGATCGCTACTAATCTTACTTCTATCTGTTGCGTCTATAAGGAGAAAATTCTTACAGACGTCTCATACCGAATAACTTAGCGGCCATACAAATTGAGAAAATTACAACATAAGACTTAGACCGTAAAAAAATCAATTTAATTTCAAACAAATCATTTAGATATTACAACCTATAGTCATCGATTATCTTTCCCCACATTTGTATATAGTTTATATTTTATAATATTTTTTTCTTTTAGAAAAGTTTTCAACGGATTTCGAAAATTGTGAGTGGTGTGCGGCATTCTTAGATAGTTGCGCAAGCGACAAGAGAAACAAACAAATTTATTAAAAAAAATTATAAAATATAAACTCTATACAAATGTGGCGAAAGATAATCGACGACTACAGGTTGTAATATCTGAATGATTTGTTTAAAAATTAAATTGATTTTTTTTGGTCTAAGTCGTATGTTGCAATTTTCTCAATATGTATGGCCGCTAAGTTATCCGGTATGAGACGTCTTTAAGAATTTTCTCCTTAGAGACGCAACAGATAGAAGTAAGATTAGTAGCGATCTAAAGCGCTTTTTTATCGCAGTAAGCCTAAACCCCCTTAAATTTTTTGCGAACACTCCCTTTAATTAATGTAGCTTTATCTGTAAAAGCCTCTTCTCTTTGTACAATATAAAACAAAAACAAAAAGTTTGCAGATTTAATGATATTTTTTTCGTGGATTTTCAAAAATTCACGAAAATTAAAATATTTTGGAGACGAACTTTTTTAAACTCTGATCAACCAGAAAGTCCCACACACAATTTTGTCTTTATCAATTCAGCCGTTTTGACGTTCACAAACATACACCAGGACAGACAATAGATACAATTATATTTGTATACATACAGTGACAGAAGGAAATATTTCCATTTATAAAGTGGCCAATTTAAACGGAACCATTTAAACCTTTCACTGATGAATAGTATGAAAAACATCGTCGTTCTTTTCATCTTCGAGATTGTTAAATTCTTACTTTTTCTTTCGTTTTCTCTGCAGAATAAAGCCAATAGTTAGAATAAATTCTTAGAGGAAGAACAGTAATATGTAATTCAGATCTCTATAAGTCACTGTGATTTAGAGGTCTCAAGCTCTCAAGCAACAATTTTACGATAATTCCGCCAATTACTTCTTCAAGACCAAAGCTAACAACAACTGCTTTATGGTGCTTAAATGCACAATGTATTATCTTTTGAAAGAGATGAGTGTTTTAGAAGGATATATCTCGATTCGAATATTAAATATTGCAAAAAAAATTGTTCGGTGAACAAATACATTTGTTTTAAATTATGTTTATAATTAATTTATCTTTTAACTAAAAGATGTTAACTGCCAAGATATTTGAGAACGCATTCATATATATACTATTGTTTTTAAGAAATGTTTTAAACTTTAACATCCTTAAGTATCTGATACTGCAGCCCCCCCCCCCTTGCCTTGATAATCTACCCACCTGTCACAATCTCAACAAATATATTACAATTTCTTTTCTTCTTGTTCCAGATGTAAGAAAAACAGAACTCCATAGTATTCTAAGGAAGAAGAAGACGACTTTTAGAATCATGATGTGACATTGAATAGGGAATTATAATGATAAGTCCACATAGATAAGATCTAAATAGGAAAAGAACTTATAGACTCAAGATGTGACATTGAATAGGAAATTATAATGATATGTCTCACATAAATAAGATCTGAAATAGGAAAGGACTTATAGACTCAATAAATAGTCCAATGAACATAAGATTGATATGTGTCACATAAATAAGATCTGAATAGGAAAAGGACTTATAGACTCAAGATGTGACATTGAATAGGAAATTAGAATTATATGTCTCACATAGATAAGATCTGAAATAGGAAAAGGACTTATAGCCTCAATAAATAGTCCAATGAACATAAGACACACGGCAATTGTTAAGTATAAACAGACCCATTAACTTAATCAGTAATTTAATAAGGTACTAGCAACACTCTTTGCTTTACACAAACGCACAAAAGTATTGTTTAATGTCGTCTTCCTATTCCACTGGTTCTCACTGTAATAAAAAATGTGTTTGCAAGCTTGCAAAGTCAACTAATGGAATTAATACATGTTTTTTTCTTTAAGAAGGGTTGTTTAATTATAATGTGTATTCAGGACAAATTAAATAAACTTACTTTTTACTGCTGAGTTCTGTTCATTAATGAATGATATCTATGAGGAAAAACATGTTCTTATATATTACACCTGCCAAGAAAAAGAACTTATGCTTATGAAACCAAAAAGAGCAGTTTGCAGTTTAGACTTAAAGAGTCTGAAGACGTAATTTCAAGTGACACTTAATTTAGATACAGGGTGTCCCACAAAACATGACAGTTGTTGCATAGTTTAAAATGTCTTCTTCCATAATTTGATAATTTGTTGGATACTAAAGTTAAAATTGATTTCACAGTAAAATATATACGAGTTAAATATTTCTTTTTATCTTTAATATTTAATACATTAATAAATAAGAAGACATTTGAAATTATTCACCAACTGTCATGTTTCGTGGGACACCCTGTAGCGGCATGCCATATTTACAAGGGTACCCTTTAAATATTTAATCAAGCAACAAAGGGGAGAATAATAAGAAAATTGGTTCTTTGTATGATCTGCGATAGGGGGATAACACCCTAAACTACCTAAACAGGCATTGTAGTCAAATCTAAACCATCTCATTTTATTAGGAACAATTAGAATAAAAGGATAAAACAAATCTTTATTCAATTTTTTAAACTTTTTAAAGCCCCCCCCCCCTTGCCGACCATTCCTCTATATAAAAAAACTGTAAACCTTTGGCCAGATATCGATATATGATAAAATATATAAATATATATATATATATATATATATATATATATATATATATATATATATATATATATATATATATATATGATTAGGTATATTCCTACAGTATTCACCAATACTCAATTAGTCTTTTACATTACGTGCCAAACTTGTCATGTTGTGCTAATATCAGGGAAAGGGCAGTTTACTTTTTATTAATAAAACTAGGCTTAGCATCATCTTTTATTTCAACTTTTTATTTTAACCCTAATCCTGCTGGGACCCCCAGTAGTTTTTTTACATAACTTAAAAAGCAATGGTCTGAGTCTGTTGACCTTTTCAGACTTTTCCTAAATACCCATATCCCTCCCTTTAGGTCTAGAACCGAGCTTTAATACTAGCTGCCTGAGTCCTCAGGCAGACTGCCTAAATGAAGATTTTATCCTGTAAAAAACTAAAAAACTACTATTTTGGCAAGACGTGCTGTACAGTTTTTGGACTTAAATATTCCCTATAATCTCGAAGGTCGAACCATCTCAAAACTTCATAACACTGAGAACAAAAATAACAGTGTTATAAAATAACGTAAACGATTAAACTAAAATCAAAATAAATCAATTTCGGTTTGCCCGGCCCTGTTTAACACAATTTAGATATTTATATTTTATTTCTATTTCTTTGTCAATTCCATAAACCTTTGAAATTTTAAACTCTGAATTCTGTCAGATAAAATAATCTAAGGTTGCACTGCACCATCAGGTTGCAAAGATATAGAGATTAGAAAATTAAGTTTTGTACATTTTTTCTGAGAAATTGTATATAAAGTAGTTTGAAATGATTTTAAACGTAATCTATTATTTATCTATATAAATTGGTTTCGGAAAACTTCTCTCCTTGAATTTTATTTATCTACAGAGAAAAAAAACTTTAATGTTATTTCTCAATATTTCTTCCACAAATTGATTTTCTAAATAAATTTGTATCCTGGAAATTGAAAATATTTTCAAACGCTGCAAAAATATAAGTTTAGATGAGATTTATTTAGTTTTCATAGAAAAATCTATAAATCAAATCGATCCCTTCGCTTTGTTTATGTTTTGCTAATTAAAATTAAAGTTTTTTTTTGCTTTTTGAATTTTTTCAGAGCTGAAAACTTTAGAATGATATATCCTTAATCCTGATTGCTTAATCTGAGTATCCAATGTACACACTTTTGATTTTTTCCCTAATCCTCTTTTTTGGATATCCCTACTACTGTATAAAAGTTATGTTTGATAACAATTACAGATACAATGCTATATCGATTGAACTAATATCCGATTGAATTGAATCCAGCTTTTCACAAGCCGGCTATTGGAGCATTTAAGCAAAGATAGATTTAATCCTGTTAATATGAACTTATTAAAAAATATATTTTATCACATTTTAGGACAATCATCATTTTAAACGTTAGTCTTAACAAACATTAATCCAAAACTTACATCTAATTAATTGATGTTTAGTTCTATTGATATGACACAACTAACACCAGAAAAAAACCGGGTTTTCAAAAGTTAAAGAGTACGTCTTAACATAATACGCTGATTTGTTGAATTTTATACTTCCTTCTTGGATATCGAATGCGTATTAAAATAATCTCAGGTTTAGTAAAACCAGGAGTTTAAGCATTAATCTTGATATCCATCATTCTAAAGTTTTCAGCTCAGGGCGTCTATGTATAAACTTTGACATTTTATTTAAAAATGCGCAAATTAAAAAATCCACGATTTATAACGAAAAATGGCAGCCTGAAGAGCAAGGATTAACAGCTCAAGTTTTTATTAGATAAAAAATTAATAATTTATAGTTTTCAAAATTATTGATAAACAACTTAAATTAGGTGAAGCAAACTGTAAACCCACCAAGGATGTAGAACCATAGCCAGTTCATTCAACCCAAGCTAAGTTTTATCATGAGTTGAGAACTGGACAAACAAATAATATTGATTGTATTTAACCCGTTACTACTGGAGCTGGTATCAACGGCCAGAGGAAATTTCCAGGGCAGCAAGGTTCAAATCCTGGGAATCCGTATCGGGGGAACACGGATAACGGTGCTTTCGTCGGAAGAGAAAGCAATCTGAACGTCCATTTTGTCCCCGAGAAAAGGGTCAGTCTTGATGAAGGATCTGAAGAGAGCGGTCGATAACGTCTCCAGTAGCTCCGAGAGGAGGATTGATTCCATCTATGATTCCAGGATTAACTTCGGTTGATCCTCAGTTTGTATTTTAATAATAATGTAAAATAAATGTCCGTGCAAAATTAGTGCTTTAATCGATTCTATCTGGCTTGTTATATTGAGTTTCTCTTTGTGAAGTTTCACTTATATGAGTTTCTATTAAGTTTATAAAACTTTTAAATCATAAGCAGTAAGTCAATTTATTTGTGAGGCCCTTTAAAATATTGAATTCTGAATTTTAAAGGGGTAAGAATGTAGATAAAGACAGATTGCGCATAAGACGACATTTTCATCTTGAAAGATATAAATGTACAGAGATTTTTTAAAGATATTCCTATTATTTAGATTAACTAGGTCGGTTGTGAACATTGGCTGTTCTTATGTCATTGAGTACTTTTGGTGTACATGAGTTCTGTTACCTGTAGATAGAAATTTATGTTAGTTTAGTCCTTCTCATAGCCTTCTTCAGTTCTCGTCAATATGATATTGCTCAGTGAAATATTGTTGTTCAAATAGTTCCATTCCCGGAGTTATTTTACACTCTATTATGAAATCCATTAAAACACCAAACCACCCCGCTTATCATTGAAGTACACTTTGACCCCTAGAAGTTTGAGTTCGCGGACTGTACAATTCTTGGTGATTTTACGTACATAAGCTATCTATGTTTGTTTATTTATCTATGGGAAAGAAGTAGTAGAGATAGGTAGGGACAAGTGAACTAGCCGATTCAAGATAAACTACTTTTTCCAATTCATTAAATGCGACCTTAGAGATCGGAATGAATGGTTCGTTTCTTAAATATTTAAACGTTCGGTAAAATTAAACTTTAACTGAACACACTTTTTAAATATTTGAAGTTTATTAAAACCTTTAAAAAACGAATCAAAATATTTAACAAAAGTAGCCCAAGGGGTTATCATTGAGTAAACGTTGAATACCAAAAGACCAAGTTTTTACAAAGGAAAGTATATTTGACAACCCTCTGTTGTTATCTCCAATATCTACTATGCCCGCCAGGAAAAACCTCCAAAGTGGAAGCGTTAAATCTGTGTATTGAGATCAAAACAACATACTTTATATTTTTTATGTTTTTTACAATAGCTAGCTCTCCAATAAGAGGAGTTATGATTGAAAACATAGAAGATTTCAGTCTTGGAAATTACATTAGTTTCACGTAGGGGCTTGGTATAGTACATATTTAGCGGACATTTGATACAATGTTATTGGTGTATCTTCCGTGTTAGGTCCCATCTTATCATATCTCTAACCATAGATTAATAACAATACAGATAGATAGCTAGATGTCGACTTTTCAAGATTAAGGGTTTTTTTATTCATAATAACCCTGAGGCAGAAGCCCAAAGAAGTTAGAATAGGCTCTCTCTCAGTTTGTATTTCAACGCGGCATGCGCGTAACTCCTTTGGGTTATGGTGAACTAAAACCCCTAAATCTTAAACAAATCTGTATTGTTTTTAATCTATGTTTCTAACCTCACAGTGTGCTTGACCTTATCCCCCTAAACCTCCTTAAACCCGGTGGTTTTTATTTAGGAATAGTATCATGTTATTTGGTTTCCAACATACTCAATAATAAGGTTATAAACTAAGAGTGTTTGCAATAATAGATTGTTGAAAACAATCTGGTAAATCTGAAATACCTTGCTGGCTCGTAGGCTGCTGCAGAGCAAGTTTACAGTGTACAATTCGTGTTTTGTACTGAGGTGTTGTTATATCTCATCCAATTATTTATTATTTTTTTTTGAAATTTCGGAAAACGATAAAAATAACATTTTCCCGACATTTTTCCAAAACAATTTGGTTTCGCGAATTTTTTTTTACTTCTTAAATTTTTTTTCATTGCATTTCATATTTTTATGCCTAAAATTCAAAATAAACAAAAATTTAGAAAATTTTGGCGAAAACATCGATAATTCGGTTTTATATATTCACCCAAAGAAGTGTTTGTAATAAAAAAGTATGCGACCTAGCAAGAAAAAAAGTATACCTAGAAATATTTTTTTTGGGACACTCTGTATATATATATATATGTATATAATATCTATCTTTATCTATCTATCTATATATGTATAATATCTATCATAATAAACAATTATCTAGGTTTAGTATCAACTTGCTCTCTATCTTTATATAATGATTTCCCGTGTTTTCAATTAGAATAACTCCCCTGGTAGTATTCAGGTGATAGTTAATTGCAATTTTGCAAATATTATTTCTTTATTAACGCGACGCACAAGCTCTAGTTTATTATTTATGGAATACTTAATGATTCAGTAAAGAAAAAAACCGGTGTACAGAACCAGGAAACCGGTGTATAGAACCAGGAAACCGGTGTATAGAACCAGGAAACCGGTGTACAGAACCAGGAAACCGGTGTACAGAACCAGGAAACTGGTGTACAGGACCAGGAAACCGGTGTACAGAACCAGGAAACTGGTGTATAGAACCAGGAAATCGGTGTACAGAAACAGGAAACTGGTGTATAGAACCAGGAAACCGGTTTACAGAACCAGGAAACCGGAGTATAGAACCAGGAAACCGGTGTACAGAACCAGGAAACTGGTGTACAGAACCAGGAAACCGGTGTACAGAACCAGGAAACCGGTGTATAGAAACAGGAAACCGGTGTACAGAACCAGGAAACCGGTGTACAGAACCAGGAAACCAGTGTACAGAACCATGGGAAACCAGTGTACAGAACCAGGAAACCGGTTTACAGAACCATGATAAACCGGTGTACAAAACCAGGAAACCAGTGTACAGAACCATGAGAAACCGGTGTGCAGAAACAGGAAACTGGTGTGTAGAACCAGGAAACCGGTGTACAGAACCAGAAAACCGGTGTACAGAACCAAGAAACCGGTGTAAAGAACCATGAGAAACCGGTGTACAGAACCAGGAAACCGGTGTACAGAACCATGAGAAACCGGTGTACAGAACCAGTAAACCGGTGTACAGAACTAGTAAACCGGTGTACATAGAACCAGGAAAACCTGTGCATAGAACCAGAAAACCGGTGTACAGAACCAGGAAACCTGTATACAGAACCAGGAAACCGGTGTACAGAACCAGGAAACCGGTGTATAGAACCAGTAAAAAGGTGTACAGAACCAGAAAACCAGTGTACAGAACAAGGATTCTGAATGATATATCTCTAAGTAGCATTTGTGTACAATTTGTCCTCCAATGAAACCTTAAGGAATTTGATATTCAAATTAAATAATGCCTTGTCATTGAATTTGCAAAGATTTAAGCAAGTTTTGAACTTTCTGCTCAAAATTATGTTTTTGAATATATTTTTTATAAGCTATAGAATCTAATTGACAAGGTTGACTTTGATTTCTTTGACGTGAGATGAATGATCAAGATGAAACGAATGTCACAAAACTATTGTGAAATGGAGATGGATAAGTTTTGTCCCGCTGGCCGCCGATTCGAGTCTGTTTGTATACTACCAGAATTTTTATGTTTTTTACTAGTGATAAGCATCGTTTTTTCTCACATATTTAAGGAATTTTTGGCTTTCATAAAAATGTTATGAATTCCCCAAAAAATTACTTATGCTGCGATTAAAGCAGGATGTTGGCTTAAATAGAATTTTAAAAATTTCCTATGGTTCGCTAACAAACGTTTGAAATTTTGTCATCAGCATTTTTCCAATTATTCCTTTTAGCCTAAAGCTTGAAACCAAAACTTTCCAATGCTCATGTCCAGGGTTACAAAGGAAATGTTCAAACTGAATTTAAAGGCATGCAGAAACTTTAATGTTTTCAAAAATCAAAAAATTTAAAATATTTTTTGGATTTCTGTAAAAAAACAGCTTTTTCGTTGTACCTTTTAGTTACAAATAATTTCAATAGGAGAAAACCCAACAGTGTCATATACAGAGTTACCCGCAAAGAATGAGACTTCAGAGTTTACACGGTCGTCATTTAATTCTCATCCCTTTTGAGTACGCCTGTATATGTAAAATTATCATTTTCTGGTTTTTAATAAATCTGTACATTCCTTGTATATCTACCATGGATCATTAAATCCCAGAAAGGGTATCAATTATTCACACATAATAGTACACACAGTACACACAGGGTTACATACAGGGATCATCAGAAAACTGTGGAATAGGAAGACGATATTAAAGAAATACTGAAGTACATTTAATGTTACTACTGAGAAAATAGGTTTACTAGTGAGTTATTAAATCAAGTGTTGAGTGGATCTGTGCACACTACACAATTACCGTGTTTTATGTTGCTATATAGACTATTTAAAGTCAAAACTTTAACAATTGTTTCCTACTGTTTACCTGGTTCTCACTGTAGATACAACGGATTAGGCTTCTGTGTAGTCTTATAACTCTGGTTCAATTAAAGTACCGATACGACTTTTAAGCAGCTAGAGCAAGCTGTTCAGTACAGTCAGTAATACGCATATAGACTATTAGACTGGACAGTACCCATAATAAATCATCTTATTCTAGTGAGATTAACCCTGAGAGTAACCCTGCAAATTATTATATTCATGAATAATTGGTAAAATTATATATTGAAAAAATTTAGAATGACATTATAAATATATATTATATCTTCATTTTGTACAAAGAATCTATTTTTCGGCTAAAAATATAAGGGGAACAACATATTTGCGGAAATAATCGTCAAGTTTGTATTCATGGAAAACAACTTCTCTGTACTTAGTTAGTTATACATAATGTTTACTAGATCTATGTAGCTAGGCAAAATATCTTTTGTCTATGTTATCATCAGAATATGAAACTTCTATCTATGTATTTATACAAAATATTTCTACTATATTTCTGTGTTTGCATTTCCTATCTATGCATGTTTTTCCACCCTTTGTATTTCTACATCTATGCATGTTTTTCCACCCTTTGTATTTCTACATCTATACATGTTTTTCCATCCTTTGTATTTCTAAATATGTGCATGTTTTTCCTATCTACGTTTTCCTATCTATGATTTCCTTTCTGTGTAATTCCTATCTATATACTTCTACATCTATGGATCGCTCTCCTATCTGTATATTTCTACATCTATGGATCGCTCTCCTGTCTATATATTACTACATCTATGGATGGCTCTCCTATCTATATATTTCTACATCTATGGATGGCTCTCCTGTCTATATATTTCTACATCTATGGCTGGCTCTCCTATCTATATATTTCTACATCTATGGATGTCTCTCCTATCTATATATTTCTACATCTATGGATGTCTCTCCTATCCATCTATTCTACATAATCAAATCTTCTATGCATTAATTATTTAGCATCCTAGCACACTACCATATTGTTTATATTTAGAGGGATGGAAACTATTAAATAGAGGAAAATTAAATTATATCGGATAAGCCAATTGTTCCACACTGTAAGCGGTTAAATTTAGGTGACATTACTACGATTGTGTGACCTCGTAGCTCCCCTAGTTTTGATTTTATGCACACAAGTATAAGGAAAGCAAGTTTATCCAGTTAAATATTATAATTCAAAACATTTCTTTTTTTCTCAACAGCTCTGCAATTATAGTAGTTATAATCGAAAAAAACAAAAGATTTGAATCTTTCCTACAATTTTCTTGAAGGGAAAATGAAAGGGGGTATAGGCTTAATGCGATAAAAAAGCGCTTTTGATCGCTACTAATCTTACTTCTATCTGTTGCGTCTATAAGGAGAAAATTGTTAAAAACTACTCACACCGAAGAAGGCAGCGTTCATTTTACAAATTCGGAAAGATGCAACATTCAACTCGGATCGTAAACAAATCAATTTAATTGCAAACAAATCATTCAGATATTACAAACAGTACTCATCGATTATTTTTCACCACATTCGTATACAGTTTTGAAAAAGTTTTGAAACAAAAAATTATTCTCTGCATTATGTAAAGTAAAAACAAATGTCATAACATCTTAAAAATGCACGAGTTTTCCTAACTTTTCCCTAACTGGCAATTCCTATTTTAAGCCTGAACCAAAAGTGCAAGAGAATTTATTGCATGCTCAAAAATATGTTAAAATAAACTTAATCTTACCCATTTATTACAGTTACACAAACTCACAAATCGATATATAAATTGTCTTCAAAATATTATTGCATTTGAAATAATCAGTAAAATTATTGTAAAAGCTGTATCTTTTAAATCATTTACTTTCTATTCTTTTATAAATTTGTTAGTCACAATCAAGGTATTAAAGCAAGGAAAGTTAATTGCGGTCGCGTATACTCAAGCGTACATATTGAAACCAGTTCTCTCTGGGCGGAATTTGTAAACAAGAATAGATGCATCACTGTTTGTTTATTATACAAGGGTATAAAAGCATTTAATTTTGATAATTTTGATAATGCACACAATAGTTTCCTATGACCAGAATATTTCACAGATTATTTTTGAGAAAATGGATTCCATGTCAGACTGTGACGTCCGTCTTGTGTTTACTTTTCCGCCCAAAGACAGTACACTGCAGTGCAAAAAATACATACACCTCTGAAATAACTTTCCTTGCATAAATACCTTGATCAGAAAGATCCATTGGGTTGACTGCAGTGCCATTATTGTTATACAATACAATTATCTTGTTCTATTCTTGACTCCTAATTAAATTCAATAAAAAGGGTCAAAAATAATAGTTAAATTCAAGATCGGAGAAATATTTCTTACATGGACCTTTATGTGGAACAATTGGCACGAATTTTATGGTCAAATATTTAAAGCTGCGTTAGAATTTAAACCTAAAATATTCATCATAGCAAGACTTTAAGCAGAAAATATGGCGACCTAACCAGACAGTTATGTGTATTAAATAATAAATTCCTTTATTAAAAAGCTTTGAAAAAGAACAGAAAAGTTTTGAATTTCTAATATGTAAAATGTTTTAAAAGTATAAATCGTAACTCTCTCATTGAACAGCTTTGAAAAAGAAAAAGAAATTTTTGAATTTTTATTTTGTAAAATTTTGAAAAGTATAAAGATTTTGTTTAACAAATTTAACCATTTGTTTATAAAATCTTGTTTAAAGTAAATTGCTTTAACAAATTTAACCATTTGTTTATAAAATCTTGTTAAAGTAAACATAGCTTTAACAATTTTAACCATTTGTTGAAAAAATCTTGTTTAAAGTAAACATTGCTTTAACAAATTTAACCGTTTTGTTTATAAAATCTTGTTTAAAGTAAATATAGCTTTAACAGTTTTAACCGTTTTGCTTATAAAATCTTGTTAAAAGTAAACATAGCTTTAACAGTTTTAACCATTTGTTGAAAAAATCTTGTTTAAAGTAAACATTGCTTTAACAAATTTAATCATTTGTTTTTAAAATCTTGTTAAAAGTTTGATATGTTTGAAATGTTTAAAAATGGTTTGCATAAAATGTTTTCAAAATTTTTGACTCTTAGTTTTTGTACTTTATTTTGGACCTAAATGAAAAATTTATGAGGCTGTTTAATTTTTTAAAACTATACTGCTGGTTCTAGTTATCCGATTTCTACATTATATAGATTTTTGGAACCCCTATGCATGGACAAAAGGAAGCAGATTGTGGAAAACAATTTTGTAAAGCTTTGTAAAGGTATTGAGTCTTTGTCACAAACTGAAATTTATATTCCATATATTTTTTATGTCCAATGTCGAAGACCTTTGATATTTCATACAATCAATTTTGTTAGATCAAATCATCTAAGTTTAAAAGAAACATTTTCGGTTTTTCTTGAATACACACTTAGGTCGCAAAAACATACTCTCGGTTTTATATTTTGTCCATGTAAATTCTTTCCATATTATTTTACTGGGTATAGAAAAATATTATATTATTTATCTGGGTCTGGTATAGGAAAATATTATATTATTTATCTGGGTCTGGT